AAAAAAAAAAAAAAAATGTACAGTACACCCTAATTTTAAAATTTCAAGCTTTATCACATTTATTTCACAAATACACGGGTACTGTTTCCGTCCCTTGCTACCAAGAGGCAAACAATACAAAAGCAGAACTAAGAAAAAATACAATTTAAAAATAGTTTCGAAACACAGTCCAAAACTGCTTCTGCACTCCTCTCTCCCCAAAGCTGGATGACAGTGTCAATGCTGTAAAGCACAGAAAAGGAATAAACGGTAAATGAAATTCGCCAAGGCAATTTTTAACAACAGTTTCAAAACAAATTTCAGTGATTTAAGAAAACATCAACTAACTGCCTAAAAGATATTCTTTCTGATTATGCTCAGGTTTCGAACCTCATAAATTTAAAAGCAGCGTAAATGTAACAATTAGAATGCTGAAATATAAACTAGAAAATACAGGCTTCCAATGTACATTAAACGTGCTAGTAATCTCTCAGCAACTTCTTTATAATTCATAGTCAACTTCCAAAAATGACTCACTGTGGTTAACAAAGAGCACCTGCCATTAACACAATCTAATCATTAGTCTTTTCAAAATATTTCCACACTCTCACAGGTACAACGTTAGAGGGGAGAAAAATCGTGTTTAAATAAAAAAATGAAATCCACAAAATGAAGACTATCAATCAAACTGAAACACACCACTTCACTACTAAATTTTCAAGAACCTTCAGGTACGAAGCACAACTCTTAAAAAGACATGGAGTTTTCATGCACAAGCACACTCGATTTCAAAGGGCAAGGACAGTAAAGTTTTACCACTAAAATGTCACTTTTTAAATCATCCACGCTTTACTAGCTAGCTGACCCCAAGTGTACCGAAATAGCTCCCCAACGCTAAAATCGTTCAACAACTTATCCTGACACCTGTACGTAATAAAGATGCGATACAAAAGACGCAATTCTTCATTAAAATGAAGGGAGAACGACACTACCTTAAAAGTACCCATCACAACATACACCGAAGCCTTCCACTTAAGTACACAGACTTGAAAATTCGTGTTATTAGGCAATGATGGCATGAAATACAAAACCACACTGTTCCACAGCCACAATTCAATAATGATTAGAAAAATTAAAGACCATACGTCTTAACGTTTTAAATAATAAAACTGTGCCCCTTTAACATTTTGTAATGGTCAAATTTCTAAAACCTCAGTGTTAATACCGAATTTCAACGTCTGTGCTCAGAGGAAACCAAAACTGTATTCAGTACGAGAGGAGCGGAACAGCTAATCTGAGAAACCGCTTTTTCTTCAATTAGCGTTCACCTAGCTCCTTGCTTCTATTTAGTCTGCACCTCAGTTTTTCACTCCAGCGAAAGACCACACGCATTCAGTCGGTAAGGGCCCTGTCCTCCGCCCACTTCAGGGCGAGCCGCGGGGTCGGACCCGTTCCATCCAGGACCCCCACGCGAGGCCTCGCGCGCCCAGGTGAACGCGGCCCGCCTGGGCTCCCCTCCTCGCTCCCACACCGCCCGCCAGAGCCCCGGGCCAGCCGGCCCGGCCCAGCCCAGCCCCCAGGCGCGCAGCCGACGCGCGGGCACGACCGCCGCCCCGACGGCCGCCAGGACACTCCCTGCTCCGGCTGCGCTCCGCGGAAAGTCCGGCGGCCGGGGGCCCGTACTCCGGCTTCTCCCACACCGCCAGGCCGGCCGCCAGCTGCGCGCTGAGGCGCAGGGCGGGCTGGGATGGAAAAGCAGGCGGCCCGGCAGGGTACTAACCTGTGGAGACCGCCATCTTCTCCTGCAGCCCGACGCACCGCCCGGACGCACGCGACGTCCGCGCTACCTCCGTGAGCGCCGCCACCCGCCCCGCGGCTTCCGGCCCCAGGCTCCCGCCCCGCAGCTTCCGACTCGTCAACGCGGACCCGCCCCGCGGCTTCCGGCTTCCGGCTTCCTGGGACGGTGCCGCCAAATCAGAGTTCAAGGGTGCAGGTTAAGCTCTTGGAACAGACTTGAGTCAGTCACCGTGACAGAGAGGAAGAGCGCGAGGCCAGAATGCTCCAGGCGGGGAACTTGCTCCGAGAGCCCGCGCCGGCTCTGACGTCATAGGCGTGCGTCAGCAGGTGCGCTAGCGCCGCCCAGAGGGCCGTCCTCGGTCGCGGGGGAGGGTGGCGTCTGTGTGGAGTTCGACGAAGTGCGTGTGGAAATGAGGCCCTGACCAGACAGGGCCGTTGACGGTTCCGTCGAAAATGATTCAAGGAGTGACAAAAAGTTTAAGGAGCCGCTAGAATTAAACCACCTTGTTCGTGCTTTCTTTTGAGATAGGCGAGACAAACGTGATAGAAGTCTGTGTCTGAGTCTAGAAAGTTCCTTCCGCTTGTGATTGGGGACCATCACTGCGTCCGGAGGGCGGAGGTGCCCACGCGGCTGGGGCGGCCGCGGGGACGACCAGGACGACCCCCGAGGCCAGGACGACCCCCGAGGCCACGACGTCCCCGGGGCGCGCGGACCTCTCCCCGCCGCGGCCCACATGAGTGGGGCTCGTTCTGTGGCCGGGCGGTGGGCCTGCTGGGTGGGCTGCTGCTTTCCGTCCTGCACCCCTGTTTACCCGTCCCTTGCACTCTGCGGAGGCTTGGGGAGGAGACAAACCCTCCGCTCGGTTCTGAACGTGGAGGGGGTGTCAGTGCTTGGTCCCAGCCACACCCCCAAAACGAAGCAGCCGAGCGGGCGCTGTTCGGTTTGCTCTCTGCGATGGGAACCCTCTGCCGCGGCTCCCGGTGGCCCTCTCTTGGCCTCATGCCTTGCTCTTTAATATCCCTCTGCCTTTTGTGGGAGCTGTGTTTACTGACCAGCTTCCTGTGAATAAGATAAGGCAGTGCCCACTGCGGCGGCACATACCCTAAGATTGGACCGGAGCAGGGAGGATTAGTGTGGCCCCTGCCAGGATGCACGCAAATTCGTGAAGCAGCCCATGTCTTACAGAAATCTGAGCAAGAGTGGGTATCCGTGTACGTGTGACTGACTCACTTTGCTGTGCAGCAAGGAACCAACAACACTGTAAAGTAACTCTACGCCAATAAAAATCAATTTTAAAAGAAAGAATAAAATAAGACAGAAGTGTGGGGTGTTGCTTCTGAGATTTTGTTTAAGAAGACTGCATTGCAAGGACTTCCCTGGTGGTCCAGGGGTTAGGACCTGGCGCTTCCACTGCCCAGGGCCCGGGTTGGATCCCGGGTGGGGGAACTAAGATCATCCCACAAGCCGCGTGGTGAGGCCCCCGGAAAAAACAGAAAGCAAAAAACGACTGCTAGCTTGCATACCTTGCTCTCTTGCTCCTTCTGAGGGAAGCCAGCTCTCATCCTGACAGCTACCTTACAGAGAAGCCCACATGGCGAGGAACATCATCCTCTGGCCAATAACTAACCTTGAGGAAGTGAAGCACTTAGTTCAACAGCCTGAGGAGCTGAATCCTGTCAACAAACATGGCGGGGTGAGCTCGAAAGCAGATCTGCCCCACTCAGGTCTTCAGGTGACACTTTGACCCAGGCCAACACCTTAAGGGCCACTCTGCTAGAGTCCTTGAGGCAGAGCACCCCAGGTGAAGGTTGCCTGATTGCTGACCCCCTGAAAATGAGGTAACAAATGTTTGCTGTTTTAGGCCACTACATTTTGGCATCATTTGTTCTGCAGCAGCGGGAAACTAATACACTCTCTTACAGTAGCCAAAGTGTGGAAGCAGCCTAAGTGCCCATCAGCAGATGAGTGGATAAAGAAGACGTGGAATATATATACACAATGGAATATTACTCAGCCATTAAAAAGAATGTAATTTTAGCGTTGTCAACTACATGGCTGGACCTGGGGGTATTATGCTAAGTGAAGTGAGACAGAGAAAGACAAATATTCTGATGTTTTCACTTGCGTGTGGAATCTAAAATGTGAAACAGGGCTTCCCTGGTGGCGCAGTGGTTGAGAGTCTGCCTGCCGATGCAGGGGACATGGGTTCGTGCCCCAGTTCAGGAAGATCCCACATGCTGCGGAGCGGCTGGGCCTGTGAGCCATGGCCGCTGAGCCTGCGCGTCTGGAGCCTGTGCTCTGCAACGGGAGAGGCCACAACAGTGGGGGCCCACGTACCACAAAAAAAATAAAAATAAAATAAAATAAAATATGAAAGAAATGAATGTAACAGAATAGAAACAGACTCTCACATGTAGAGAACAAACTAGTGGTTACCAGTGGTGAGAAGGAGGGAGGAGAGATAAGATGGAGGGGATTAAGAGGTACAAATATTGTACAGGACAGGGAATACACCCAATGTTTTATAATAACTTTAAATGGAGTATAATGTACAAATTTAGAATCACTATGTTGTACACCTGAAACTAATATAATATTGTAAATCAGCTATACCTCAATTTAAAAAAAAAACTTTGTAAATTTCTCTTGAGAGTTCAATTTTGTCTCGGGTATCATTTAGAAGTGTGTAATTCAGTCTACACATATTTTGGGAGTCAGTGAAGGTTTTTGATGCATGGTAATAGTTACTCAGTATTTGTAAGATTAGCTAATGTACAATAACAGTAATCAGTTATATTCTTACCTTCTTTGTTGTAGATTAATTGACCACAAGTGCATGGTTTATTTCTGGGCTCTCAATTCTGTCCCATGGATCTATGTGCCTGTTTTTGTGCTCATTTCATACTGCTTTTGGTGTTTGTTTGTTTTGTCAAAAAGTTTATTTGGACTCACTGTTTTGGCAGAAGCATCTGTACATCAGCCTACTGGTAAGCCAGTGGTGTTTGTAAGTGCCTTTACCTTGTGGACCCTGGGTTAGGGACAGAGGAGGAAACCAGAGAGACAGATGACAGTCCAGGAGAAAGGGAAACCTCACTCACATACACTGGTGTTTCCACACAGCTCATTTAATGGAAATTGTTAGACCTGGACTAATCCTGTCTTCATTATGATCTAACTGTGCAGCCCTCTGTAGATCTTAGTTGCCTCATCAGTAACTGATGGGTGAGGACTGAATGATAGCATCATACTGTTTTGATTAATGTAGCTCTGAGGTATAGTCTGAAGTCTAGGAGTGTGATGCCTCCAGCTCTGTTCTTCTTTCTCAAGATTGCTTTGGCTATTCAGGGTCTTTTTTTGATTCCATACAAATTTTAGAATTATTCTAGTTCTGTGAAAAATGCCATTGGTATTTTGATAGGGATTGGTATAAAGCTTTTTTTTTTTTTTTTTGGCAACGCTGTGAGGCTTGTGGGATCTCAGTGCCCTGACCAGGGATTGAACCCAGGCCCTGGCAGTGAAAGTACCGAGTCCTAACCACTGGAATGCCAGGGAATTCCCGGGGTTGCTATAAAGCTTTTTAAAAAATGAAAACAGAACTTGTCAAAATTTGTGGGATACAGTGAAAGCAGTACTTAGAGGGAAATTTTGAGCATTGTATGCAATGTTAGAAAAGAAGAGAGAAGTGAAATCAGTCATCTAAGCTTCCACCTTAGAAAACCAGAAAAAGAGCCAATTAAATCCAAAGTAAGCAGAAGTAAAGAAAGAATAAAAATTAAGAGTAGAAAGCAATGAAATTGAAAACAGGAAATCCATAGAGAAAATCAACAAAACCAAAAGCTGATTCTTTGAAAAGATCAATAAGCCTCTAGCCAGGCTAACAAGACAGAAGACACATATTACTAATAGCAGAAATGAAAGAGGGCACATCACTACAAATCCTATTGACATTAAAAGGATAATAAAGGAAGACTATGAACAAATCTATGCCCCAAATTTGACAACCCAGATGAAATGGACCAATTCCTTGAAAGATACAATTTGCCAAAGCTCACAGACAAAATAGTATGAATAGGTCTCTCTATATATTATAGACCTATACACTAAAGAAGATAAATCAACAATTGGTAACCTTCCAAAACAGAAAGCACCAGGCCCACCAATTTCACTGGTGAATTCTATCAGACATTTAAGAAAAAAATTATACCAATTCTCTACAGACTCTTTCAGAAGATAGAACAGAGGGAATATTTCCTACCTTATTCTGTGAGGTTAGCATTACCCTACTAGCAAAACCAAAGACATTATAAGAAAAGAAAACTACAAACCAATCTCTCTCTTCAACGTAGATGCAAAAATCCTCAACAAAATATTAGCAAATAGGGCTTCCCTGGTGGCACAGTGGTTGAGAGTCCACCTGCCGTTGCAGGGGACACGGGTTCGTGCCCCGGTCTGGGAAGATCCCACATGCTGCGGAGCGGCTGGGCCCGTGAGCCATGGCCGCTGAGCCTGTGTGTCCAGAGCCTGTGCTCTACAATGGAAGAGGCCACAACAGTGAGAGGCCCGCGTACCACAAAAACAAACAAAAAACAAAAAACAAAATAACAAATAGAATTCAACAATGTATAAAAAGAATTACACACCATAACCAAGTGGGATTTATCTCAGGGATGCAAAGCTGTTTCAACATTCAAAAATCAATGTAATTCATCATATCAATAGGTTATAAACAAAAGCCACATGATCATATCAATAGATACAGAAAAGCGTATGATAAAATCCAGCACTCATTCATGACAAAAGCTATCAGTAAAATAGGAATAGAGGGGACTTCCTCAACCTGATGAAGAATATCTGCAGAAAGCCAACAGCTGATGTGATAAAGGTAACAAACTAGATTTTCCACTAAGACCAAGAAAAAGACAAGGATGCCCCTTCTCACCACTCCTTTTCAACACTGTACTGGAGAAGAAAGAAGCTTGTTTGCCAACGACATGATTTCCTATGTAGAAAATCTGAAAGAATCAACAAGAAAATCTGGAACTAATAA